CCAGAATTCCCCAGCCAGCGGATGCTGGCTGGGGAATTCTGGGAGCTGAAGTCCAGACATCTTCATGTGGCCAAGGTTGAAAAACACTGATCTAGAAACCTAAAACTGATTACAATCAATTCTGATGCTTTTGTCCTGCATAATTAATAAACAAGCCAAGTGAACGAAGATCAGAATATTGCTTATACAGATGATACCCGATTAACAGAGTTGGAAGGGACCTTGTAGGTCATCTAGTCCAACCCCCTGCCCAAGTAGACCCTACACCATTTTTGACAGATGGCAGTCCAGTCTGTTCTTGACAGCTTCCACTGTCAACCACGTTTCTCCTAATACGTTGCTAAAATCTACAGACGGAGCCCTTCCTGAGGACTAGCCTAGTATGGAATTCACATTTATTTTTTATCAGTGGGTCACACTTACCCAGAGGACTTAGCAAACACAGAGACGGTGTATTTCCCTGTCTTGCTGATAGAATCTCGAACGATGAAACCGCCATCTTTGTCCTGAAATATAGAAATGCCTAAATTTTCTAGTTGTGAGGATTTGGAAATGATTAATTTTCCAGTGTGTCTCTTGATGGAAGCTCCTCTTGTGAGGTTGCTTCTAACCCTTTGATGAAGCCACGCTGACCTAAAGTGCTGGGTTACTAGCTCTAGTAGCAAGTAGTAGTTAGTAGTAGTAAAATTAAGTAGATTTGCCTGAACTCTATGTCTAAATTTACTGCACCCTTCACAAGGATAATAAGCAAAGAGAAAATTCTTGGCATACAATTTAGGATCTTAGAATGAAATGATATGCTAAACAAACTAGTTCCTGGTTATTAGCTACTCCTGATTGGATCCAGAAGCTAAGCAGAAATAAAAGGGGCAAAAAAACATACACAGTGTACAGTATTCACAGTCAAAGATGATTGCCCCCCCCCCAAATCCTTATTTAGAATTTCTTGCAATGTTTCTCCAACTTGGCCAGTTGAAGATATGTGGACTTCAACTCCCAGAATTCCCCAACCAACAAATCTTCCCTCCCCCAAGACGGCTGAGCAATTCTTGGAGTTGAAGTCCACGCAACTTTAATTTGCAAGAAATATAAATTCCTTACAATGAAAGGAAGAGGAGGAAGGATGGGTTAGACCAGTGGTTCCCAAACTTGGCAACTTTAAGACTTGTGGACTTCAACTCCCAGAATTCTCCAGCCAGC